ATGAATAATAATAAAAATATATAAAAGAAAGAAAGAAAGAAAAAGAAAGAAAGAAAGAAAGAAAGAAAGAAAGAAAGAAAGAGACTGAGTGAGAGGAAAGTGACAAATCACCCCTAGGGGGGAGGACCACACCTCAATCCCCTCTCCATTCTCCTCCCAGGATCTTGAGTACTTACGCATGATTTTGAAGCCAGTGGGAGCCATGTGGGAGTCCAGTGATGTAACCATTACGCCATCTGCTAGCCGTTAATTCACTATTTTAAAGTATGTAAGTCACTGTTTTTGAGCATAGTTACAAAGTGCATATCCACTACCTAAACCAATATCAGAACATTTTTGTCACCACCAAAGAAAGCCCCTATTCATTAGCAGTCAGTCCTCATTTCCTTTCCCTCTGTCCCGGGCAGCTTCTAATCTACTTTCTCTCAGTAAAGATATGCCTATTCTGGACACTTCATGGGAATGGGATCATGTAATATACTTTTTAAAGTAAGGGTTTTATTATTTATTTAATTTTAGTTATTTTTTTATGGGAGAAATTTTTGCTATAGGGCATGTGCACTTGCCTGAGAGACAGAGGGAGACAGAGAGAGACAGAATAGCAAGAAATCACCACCCTGGGAGCATGGCTACTGCACAATCACTTCTCCTCCATTCTCCTCTTGAAATCTTGGGCACACACGCACATGCACCCGGTGTAAGTTTAAGCCACCGAGTTTGGGACTTGAACCATGGTCGACTATATGAGAGTCCAGTGAAATAACCACTACATCATCTGCTAGTCCCTATGTTTTTTAATTTGACCAAAGAGAGACAAAGAGAGAGAGAAAGGTAAAGTGAGAAAACAAGCCACCAGATCCAGGACATGAACCAAGGCTGGCCATGTGGGAGTCCAGGGCCTTAACACCACACCACCTGCTGGTCTCCCCTCCTTTTTTTTTTAAGGATTATTTAATTTGGGGGATCAGCAGGTGGCATGGTGGTTGAGTCACTGGACACTCCCACATAGCTGACTATAGTTTGAGTCCCAGACCTGGTGGCCTGCTTTCTCATGTTCCTTCTCTCTGTATCTCTCACAGGTCAAATTTAAAAATAAATTAATGAGGGAACCAGCAGTTAGCGTAATGGCTATGTCGCTGAACTCCCACGTAGTCGACCGCGGTTGGCGTC